GCTCCCCGCTTCCCCACTGCCCTGCCATGGTTCTGCCAGGTGGGACGGCACCTCCCAGCTTTCTGCCGCCTGCTTGGTTGCTGCCACCCTCTTTGTTGAGCGCTTCACTGACAGTGTGCAGAACATCCTTTTTAACTTAGAGTAAATGTAGTTTCCGTGTCAAAGTGCTCCCTGATGCTGCAGCAAAGGTGGTGCGTGTCAGCGGGCAACGGTTCTTCTCTGCTTTTCATGGGGGGGTCACCAGGCACTGTTTGGGTGTGCAGCTGAGGGCTTGGCTTGTGCCAGCTGCCGAAGGGGTTGTGTGCCACGGCCAAGGTGGAGGCTCAGGTGCCTGTCTGGGCCCTCACTGGGTGGGATGCAGCTGATACGCCATCGAGGTGGGATGAAGCAGTGAGTACACCGCGTCTGTGGGTCTTTCCCAACTATTCCTTGTCCTGCTACCGCTGCTCAATCCTCTCTGAACGGCCCTCCCTCAGCCAGAAGGACCATGGGGTGATGCAGAAGGCAAAGGACTGCTATTTGCAAGCAGGTCTGTTGGCAGCCGCCCAGGCTGGGAAGAAAAACAGCAAAAAAGGGATTTAAGGGTGTTTGGAAGGAAAATTCCCTCTCTGGCGGGTCTCCTCCAGGAGATCAGTGGCTGCTGTGCAGCTGGAGGAGGGCAAGCAGCCCAGCGCCAGGCACCCCAACTGCAGGAGCCCAGGGAGGCTGGAGACGCCTGCAGGAGCCCGGGGTGGCCCTGTACTGGCAGCTGGGGATGGAACCACACTGGCAGGAAAAAAAACCGACATGGAGGAGAGGGTTCTCCTCTCCTGCCTGGGAGCCCCTCCAACATCGTCACTGTCCTCTTTGCCATTTTCCGGCCCCGTGGCTGGCAAGCTACGGTCCTCCGCTGGTGCTGCTTCTGAGCGGGACTCCTCTTGGTTTCCCTCCCAGTGCGAGGCATGATCCTCAGCAGGGGCATCCAGCGCAGCACGGATGGAGCCCCTGGGGAGCGGAGGTGCTGGGAAGCGGCCGAGGCTGGCACGTGCTTCCCGCC